TGTATTTGATTGTGTTTATCTGCAGTTAGTTACACGAATTCAGATATGGGATGAAATCGGATAGGGATGAACGGGATTAAGAGTTTTTAAGAGTTTAAGAGTTTTAAGAGTTTAAGAGTTTTTAAGAGTTTAAGAGTTTTAAGAGTTTAAGAGTTTTTAAGAGTTTTAGCCAAATGCTTTATAATATAGTATAGATATATATATAATTTTTTTATGTATAGCTTAGCTTAGAAGATTAATGTGAAACAAGAACTTCTATCGGACGATCTATCCTCTATCAAAAATATTGATCTTTCCACAAACAAACTCACTGACAGCATTCCCAATAGCATCAGAAGTCTGAAAGGTATCCAAAAGGTTCTTACTATTTCCATCTGTTAAGCAATTGTTGAGATGAATTTCGGCAAGGAAAACTTTATGAAAATCAAGAGAATTTTGCAAAATGTTTGCACATGATTTTACAAAAACAAACTATTGATTCAGATTAGACTTCAGACGATTGTCAATTTACAAAAACAAACAGCCTTGTTAATTCAGATTAAGACTTCGGCACCACCTCCTATTAATCGGAAGTGAAATAAGACTTCAAATTTCAGCACCTCTTATAAAACAAACGCCACCTTAATTTTTGCTGTCATATCAAATTTGATGCTAGTCTTACTGACCGTCAATTAAAATAACCAAAAATCAATTTTAAAGAATTATTTTAAGGGCTTACCCACACTGATCTTCAATGTGAGCTTTCTGGGTGACTGAATTGCAAATCCCTGTAACTTTGCAATTACTATACTTCTGTGCGATGTATATACTTAGTGATCCCCAACCACATCCAACATCCAGAACGGTGTGCCCATCTTGCAGTTGTGATTTCTCACAGTAAAGTTGCAGCATTGCTTCCTCAGCATCCTCTAATGAGCTTAACTTGTCACGGAAATAACAACAGCTGCAAAAGATCATCCATGAAGCACATCAACAAATAATGAAAAATAAGAAGTTTCTGACTCTTAGGTACACACCCACGAAATACATTCTAGAGATTCTATGCCATTCTACTTGAGGAACAATAATACTAGAGGATTCACTACAACAAAATTGGGTTTATAGAACGTCAAAAATGTCCAAGTATCCTAATAGACCACTTTAGAGGACTAAAATTTTTTAGGACCAAACAATCGTGCATCCTATGTAAATATGTTACAGTAAGTTTATAGGACGTCATTGTAAGAAGATCATAAAAACAAATGCATTTATATGACATATGACACATCTCCAATGTGTCACATAAAAACGCTCATACGATACTTTATTTTAAAGATGTCCTAAAAAACTTGTTAAGATGTACAAAAACGTCTTATAAACTAGTTGTAGCACTTTTACATAAAACGAACAATTGTTTAGTCCTATAAACTTAAGTCACAAAAAGTAGTCTATTAGGATAGGTAAGCATTTTTGGCGTCATATAATGCCAATTTTGTTGTAGTTGTTGAATCAGAGGTATAGGTAAAAAATGATTTTGATCTAAACAGAGAAAGACTAAGGACGTGATTATATCATTATCCTTAAGGAATATTAGCCCCCACTAGGTCGTTGACGGATCTAGGCTAATTTCTTCCCAGGACCTCCTCGAGTTTCAAGAACTGTAGGCAACGATCCTACAAGTTCTTCTCATGATCATAATTAGGTGATACAGTGAAGAAGATGAAAAATTGATTAGATTTGAATCGAAGGTAAAAATCATGTATTTATATTATAAAATTCCCAACAGTTGCAACCATTCTCGAAAAGGTGCAACCTTTCATGAATAACTAGAAGAACAGTTTACCTAAAACAATTTGACAGAGAGCTCAAAATAACCTTTCGATTTCATTCAAAAAATTAACCGAAAACAGTTTAACAGAAAGTTGGCTTGCCATTAAATGTTAGGACCAAAAATGCAAGGAATTTTATCTGCAAGTGCTAAGTGCTAGGATTTGATTATATATATAGTCCCTCAACTATATAATATTGCCAAAAAAAATCCCTCTAGGCTTTACCCCTTTGTGATCTCTCCAATTTACTTTTCAAATAATTCAAATGAAATTTGACTAATAAACCAAGAAAACTTTCTTCCCTCCTCCTATGTGGGACTAAGTTAAAACAAGTGATAAATACTACTTGTTCCAACAGTAGTGGCCAGTTCAAGTCTCCTCAAGGATTTTCCTAACTGTTATCTTCAAGCCCCCAATGGGATAGTCAAGGTCAGGTTTACCAGAAAAGAAAAATACTAGAGGATCTATTTGGTTATATGGCTCAATGTTTGAGAAGGATGAGTATGTTAGAGAATATAATTTGCCTGTATTTGAAATTCTTCCCAAGTACAAGCTTGAAGAAAGAGGTAGGCAGCTCATAATGTTGAGCTTTGGCATCTTCAGTCTTTACAGCTATAGGCATTTCTCGTAATGCTGCAAGAAAACATATTATTTCACAATAAGTAAATGAATCATGGTTGCAACTTCATTCACACCTGTTTGTCTATTCAACCACAACAATCAAGCACTTTGATAACCTAAATAGATTAAAGTTACACACAATCAACTATGCAATAAAACTTTCGTTGAATTGGAAAGATGAACGGTACTTAATTTTGAGGAGTAACACCCTTTTAAAACCATCATCTTGGATACATGAATTTTAATTGAGGATCCCCTTTATAAAGAAATGTTTGAAGGATATGGAGTCAGACAACTATTATTGCTCCATAATAACACTCCAAATTAGTGGACCAGTCACAGACCACAGCAACATAGAAAATACATAATTAACCCCAATTTAGGAAAGTGAAACAGATACAGAAATTGAAGTCAGAAGAAACCATAAAACTAAAAACATATCATATTGAGTTATAAGATTAAGAATTAGAAAGACAAATTAGACAATAAGGTAGTAAGTACCATACACTGAACAAAACCCAGAAGATCTTGAAGCTGTTGTTGAGCGGTGGGTTTAAAGCAGGAACGAAGGCGACCTGCTAAAAGGAGACGAGTGAGTCTGCGTATAACCGCATCTGGAAGCAGATTGCGTTGAAGGGAAACCAGCATTAGCTTGACGGTAGCATCGTAGGGTACCTGCACTAAGTTGCTCATTTCTGTGTGATATGCTTCCAAGATTTGAACTTGTTGGAGAAGATAAGACTACAATTTACTTGAATCAAAACAGGGTCGTTGGTTAAGTGTCTGTTCCACTCTATTTTGGTACGCAGACCACGTGGTTAGGTTTTTTTTTTTTAAATTGCTTATAAAAAGCTGTTTTTTAATTTATTTCAGTTTGTCATCGATGATAAGCTGTTTTTTGGTGTTTGGATAAGAAAAAAAACTTCTTATACTTGTGCCAAACCCGTAATAAGTTATTTTTGATAAGTTAATCCTTCCTGACTTATGAAAAACTGTTTATTACCGGTTTACAATTTTAACCATGTTTTATTTAACTCCGGTTTGATACCACATAAGTTAATAAGCACTTTTACAAAAAAAAAACATAAGTTGTTTTAAATAAGCAATCTCAAACACTCCCTTAATAGGCAATCTTAGAAGAATCTTGTTTGACAAAAAAAAATCTTGTTTGACAAAAAAAAAAGGTCCACCTCTTAATGATTCTAAAACTCTTTGAATCATTTTGTATATACTGGATCTCCTTTAACCCTAATTTCATTGTATACAACTATCAAACAATTATATTTTATTTTATACTATATCATGAAAGTCTCTTAATCATTTTGACCACTTAATCATTTTGCACCAAACCATTCAGCATTTACCAAATAACCTCTACATGGTACGGGACGGGACAAAAAAAATAGTCTCATGTGTTGGTATGTCATGTACAAAAAATACATAGGATAAGATGAGACTATTTTTAAATTTCATGGGACAAAAGTTGACCAAAAAAGTGAAACAACATGAGACTAAATATAAAATTACTATATTACCCTTTGTTATTTCTTCCAATAGAAAACCTAATTATCCCACCATTTGTGAAGTATCGCCTCCTTCATCACGTCCTCGTCTTCTTTCACATCGGCTCAATCGTCTTCCTCCACAGGCCTTCATCACGTCCTCGTCTTCTTTCACATCGGCTCAATCGTCTTCCTCCACAGGCCTCCATCGCCTCCTCTCCTCTGCAATCAAGTACGATTTCTCCAATTCTTCATCTCGCTTCTTTGACTGCGTACGATTTCTATGCTTTTTAAAGAATCAAGAAGTGCATACGACCAGATCACTTTCGTTTGAGAAAAAAGTTTGAATCTTTGATACAGTGACAACAAATATTGTCATCTGGGTTTTTCGAGTTGGAGAATTTTATGATGTGGGTGAAGAGCATTTTTGTGAATTTGTTCCTTTTTGAACAAGATTAAAGTTGAGGTTTGAATGCAAATGGTGGGGTTTGGCTTGATAGGGTTCTGATTTTGTTCTTTAATCTCTGGAACATACTTTTTTCTTCTTATGTTGGGGGTTGTCTTTTGGGATTTGGAGAAGACGATATATAAATACGGTGAAATAAAATCATTGCCAAATGGCTTATGTTCATGTTCATTGATGCTTCTATACAAAATTTAAAGATTCTTGAAGCATGGAGAAGAGATTATGGGTGTTCGAGACGTTGGGATTAGGGGTTTTGTATCTTTTAACATGGTTGAATGTTTCCTATGCAACTCTTTCTCCTTCTTGTGTCAATTATGAAGGTTAGTTTTCATTCTCTTTTGTTTTGCCAAATTTGGGCATTCCATCTATAATCTGTTTTCGCAGTTGTTGATTCTTGTTCATTTTTACTCCACACTTTTCTTGTTCAATTTAGGCAAATTTCAGTTTGGTTGGTCATTAATGATGTATGTTCTTCCTTATAATTCGTTTATAATTTTGTTTTAATTGGATAAATACCATCACTGGTCTCTAATCTTGATTTATACATTTAGCTATTTGCTTATTAATTTGTTAAGCAAGTCAAGAAAGGAGATTAAAAAACTAACATGTATTTGCCTATTTTGGTTGATTTCTTGTCATTTTACAATCATTATATGATATAAAATAACATTGAACAACATTTAGGGGCAATATGGTCATTTTAATAGTTTTGTCCTCTCTTGTCCTAGTCATACCAAACATAGGACAAACAATTAGTCTTGTCCCGTCCTATCCTGTCCTATCCAGTCTGCGTACCAAACGCTACCTAAATTACCTATTTGGTCCATGTGGTATGTGGGTTTCTTCACCAAATGGCTGTCCAAAAAGTCAGAGGGCATAAAGGCTTTTTTTACATTTCTTTTTTATTTTCAATTAAGTTGGCAAAACCTCTCCCCCTCCCAAGTCCCATCTTCCTCACCGACACCAACAAAACCCCTTCCCCTTCCTCCACCACCATGTTTGAGAGCATTAAGAAGAAAGTGTTAGCCAAGGTGCAAAAGTTAAGAGTGAGAAAATGGAGATGGTTAGAGTATGAGAGTGCCAGAGACCAAGTGTTAAGAGCAGTTTGGAAGAAAATGAAGGACCTACCACCATTGGACAACATACATCTCCCAGTCTCTTAAAGCAGGTCAAGTTCTATCATCTTTCCTTACTCCATTCATATTAGACTTGTCTAGTTTTTTTCTCTGTTTTTCTAATTTTTGAGTCTATGACTGTTTGTTTGAGTCTCTGGGACTGTTTGCACTTAAATCATGCTACACACAAACAGTTTTCTAATGCAAGTGTTTGATAGTTTTTTGAATTAATATCATAGCATCGTTATGCTATTTTTGGTTTTATTTATGATCTATGTACCATTATCAGTAGCATTTCCCTTCTAAGCTCAATAGTAATAGACACCATCATTGGATAACAATTGTTGTTGGTTTTCATTTTCACCTAACACCAATTATTCTTCACCATCTTGATCCAATGAGGGCATTGAATCCCTCAAGTTTGAGAGTCTCCCAGTCTTGGAAATCACCTTTGTATAAGAGCCCAAACCCTCCTTTCTCTTTCAAAATTTGGATTAGTATGCTCTATGACTGCCGTTTTATACGGATTTCTCATTTCAGAAAACCAATCTAAAAGATAAAGTCGAGTTATTCAATATTAGGCCTTAGACGTTTTTATATTCTCATCTTCTTGGTGAAAAATTTGTAAGTCGACGTAAGAGAAGTCGCATCTATATTTTTAAACAAGAATTGAGAATAGATCTTTGTTCTACGGAAGAATATCATACCCAATCATGAGCCCAAATCTTTCTTACTCCCGTTCGTCTTCAAACTCCTCCAGTTTCCGTCAATCTTCTGCCTCTAAGATTGATCAGTTACACGAAATTTCCTGTGTCCCAAATGATTCTAAAATACCCTTATCAAGTATGCCATAGTTAACCCTTATAGTGTTTTTTCCAAGCCAACTTCCACTTTTTCAAAACGAGTGAAAAAATTAATAGGATCCAGCTCAAACAACCAGGTAAAAGAATTTGTTCAAGTCTCCAAGTTCGACTCACACCAACTCCCGACCACCATCGCCGAACATCTAGTGACATTATCCATCACCAACAGATCTTCCAAGGCATTGCCTAGCTCAAGGGTATACACATATCCATTTTGAAGCTATTAGATTAGCCCTTGCCTTTCATGGTTGGAAAGGTCTTCCAGCGTTCTCTTGTATCGCCTTGGTTGACACCAGATTTGTATAATACCAACCTGTTTGCATAGGTACTATACAAACAACCTTGAACTCAGGAACAATATTTGTCACTTTCTATCCAAATTTTAATATGTCCCTCAATGATCCCTCACTACATATAGCCCTCAAAGCCCATATACAGATAGGTGGAACTGCCCAAGTTAATACCTTCTAGGCAACCTTTCACTATCAAATGGCATACAGGGTCCAAAACCACTCTTTAAACATCATGGTTCCAGAACAAGAACACGCAGGAGATGCCATACTTATTGATGTCAATTCAAGTGCCACTCCAACATGCACGTATGTTCCAAGACAGTTATCCAGAGAGGACTTGCTCAAACTTCTACCCGAAAAATGGGTAACCAATTACGAACAGATCCATCAAGCCCCTGTACAAACAAATACAACTCTAGATTTCATTCAACATGAAAATGGAATGGTTGAAGTCAAATTCTCGAACAGAGAAATAAAGACAAACATATTTCCAACCATCAGCATGATCCAACCATTAGAGTCATCAACATTGCTACAAAAAGACCAACATTGTTGGTACGATGTATACAACTACCAAGATTGCTTGGATGAAGCATAAAAGGTTGATTACGATGAAGATATTCCCCAAAAGGGTTCTCAATGAAAGCTAAATAAAAGATATAAGGCAGGAGATCTTGTTGTTGGACTCTTAGGTGAACCATCAAGTAAGTTCGATTACTATGTTTTGTATAGAAACTCACCCTCTAAACCAAACCCAACCCTCAAGCCTTGTCATCCTCACCTTCTCATAAACCCCCCAACCAGTCCCAAGGTGAAGGTGGGGTATGGTAGGGCTTGAGGGTTGGGTTTGGTTTAGAGGGTGAGTTTCCATACAAAACATAGTAATCGAACTTGCCTGATGGTTCACCTAGGAGTCCAACAGCAGGATCTCCTGCCTCATATCTTTGCTTTAGCTTCCGTTGAGAACCCTTTTAGGGGATATCTTTATCGTAATCAACCTTGTATGCTTCATCAAAGCAATCTTGGCAGTTGCATACATCATACCAACATGTTGGTCTTTTTGTAGCGATGTTGATGACTCTAATGGTTGGATCGTGCCAATGGTTGGAAATATATTTGTATTTATTTCTCTGTTCGAGAATTTGACTTCAACCATTCCGTTTTCATGTTGAATGAAATATGGAGTTTTGTTTATTTGTACAGGGGCTTGATGGATCTGTTCGTAATTGGTTACCCATTTTTCTAGTAGAAGTTTGAGCAACTTCTCTCTAGATAACTGTCTTGGAACATACGTGCATGTTGGAGTGCCACTTGAATTGACATCAATAAGTAAGGCATCTCCTGCGTGTTCTTGTTTTGGATAAACCTTGTATGCCATTTGATAGTGAAAGATTGCCTGGAAGGTGTTAACTTGGGCAATTTCACCTATCTGTATCTGGGTTTTGAGGGTTGTATGATTGAAAGTGTCATGCATTATCTGGGAGACTGATAAAGGATGACTAAAACTATGAGATTAGAATAAAA